AAGTAATTATGCATTTACAACAACTATATAATACTGATTAGTGTGTACTTAAACATACGTAAATTGTATTAAACAATGTATATCCTTTTGCCTTTAATTTTTTTATTCAACATTATTTTTTGAGATTTATCCACAGTGATATCTAACTATAGATATAGAGATTTATATCTAGTTCACTAATTTTAAGCTCCTTTACATTATTTCTTTAGGAATAAACCACACTTTATTGATTTACTTTATCTATAAACAGTTAGGTTATTTACATTTTTTTAAAAAACAGAGGTTCAATAAACACCTTTTTTTCTGCTGAGGAAGATTTGCCCTGAGCTAACATCTGTGCCAAGCATCCTCTGTTTTTTAGTATGTGGGCCGCCAGCACAGTGTGGCTGCTACCAGAGCAGTGTAGGTCTGCACCCAGGAACTGAACCTGGGCCACTGAAGTGGAGCATGCTGAACTTAACCACTAGGCCATGGGGGCTGGCCCAATAAACACCTTTTTTGCATGTCTCCCTGTACCATATGCAAGAGTTTCTCTTGCAGACGCAGACATGGTTTTGTTGGATATGCTCATCTTCATCTTTACTAGATATTCCCAAATTTTGTTCCAAAGTGGTTACACCAATTTACTTTCACTAGCAACGGTAAAGCAGTCCCCATTCTCCATACCCTTATCAATACTTAACATTATGAGAGTTTATGAATTGTTGCCAATATGAAGATTGTGGAGTGGTAACTAATTGTTATGCTTAGAGGATATTTTCCTAAGGTCCCTAAGGTCATACAATTGTGGCCACCACATCAATGCCAAGTCTTATCAAAATAACAAAATAAAGGATATTTAAAAAAAACTTCTGCAGCTTACAATGAATTTACTTTTCCTCAAGAAATGTCTTATATTGCTAAAGCTTGGCCCATGAACCCATAAATCAAGCCATAAAAGAGGAATGGGGACATGGCCCCAGCTCTGTATTTATTTTCTTGTATTCATAATCCAATGTTACTTAAAAAGCAAACTGCCCAATATTCAAGCCAAAGCAAATACTCTGGATTTTGCCAGGCAAAATGCCTGTGGAGAAATGAGTCAATTCATACAAAATTCAAAGCTGTCTTTGGTCAGTGACATTTTCGTGAAAATCTGTGGGTGGGTAAAAGTTCTGCAAAATTCCTTTTTGCTATTGGATAAAATTCATCCAGGGAAAATAAGCAGAGTTTAAGTGGCAACCCACATTCCCCCTAACTCCCTTATTAACACTCCCTAACCTCCCAGCACAACTGCTTTCTATTGTGCACAAAGGCAAGCCATCAGTGTTTCTGATCCTAGCAACAGAACCCTGTCCCCCTGCTCACTCTGCTCCCATCAGATAGGCTTTCTCATGAGAAGTACTGGCAGACAGTGTGCCTGAGCTCATTCAGAACACACCTTCCTGGGAACGCTACCCAGGCATTGCACACACTTCAACTTAATGGCAAAAAGACCTACAGTAAAAACATTCTCAGCATGCACTCTGTTGGAACCATTACTATGGATACTGTTAGGGGTGGTTAGTGTACATCTATAGTTTTGGGTTACACTTTATGTTGCCCTTCTAGGAACATGAAACAGGGGTTTGGGAGAGAAACAAATTCCGAGACTCCATGACTTGTTCGGACTTGAGAATTTGAAACCTTATCATCTCAAAAAACATAATAGAATTCAGCATAATTATACCTGGGAATGCTTAAAAGTTTTGATAAATTCCAGGATTCATCAATGTTGGGGTTGGTTTAAGCTCTGGAAGATCTAAACAGAAATGATTCGGCAGCTAGAAACTGCTTTAACTAGTACATAGTAGAGAAAGGACTGAGGTATTTTTAACATAATATTGCTATATCCTAGTTTCTGAATTAACTGAGTTGCCTACTGAGGCCTTTACTTCTCAAGGCCTTTGCCATGGCTAGGAATATCTCTATGATAGAGGCCAGGTCTGGAGAGAGAGCAGCTGGTTTGGCTTTCCACAGAAGCAATGAGATCTACAGAAGGGTGGAGTTGTTTGGGTGGGAAAGAGAAAAGAAACCATTCTCCTCTTCCAGTAAGTTAACCAAATAATAAATTAACAATCCTCCCCCAGTTCTGCCACCTAGAATCTTGAGTGATCTGAATCCCAGAGTTCTGGGTAAGGCTGAGGAATTACAGTCAGAGATTCTGAGAATGCATTCTTCCATGCATGAAATGGAATTTGGCGTCAAGAGAGGACACCAGTGGTAGCCTCTTACTGTAAGCAGGCTGTCACTGAGTAGCCCTTTCACATACCCTTCTTTTACTATGACTTCCAGAAGCTCATTGTGCTGCTTGTAGTCATGGTCACCAAACACAATTGGGTCATCACATCTTTCTTGGGTCAATAAGCTAAGTGAGCGAAAATGATGACTAACTCTAACTACGGTCCACAGAAAATTAATAACAGTTAAACATACGTAAAACAAAAGTGGACTGGGTCTTGTAATTTAAACTGCTTCTAGCCTTTGCAGCATGTGACACAGCCGCAAAAACCCAAAGATCACTTCATGTCTCCAAAAGAGGAATGTGGTCATTTTACTTGGCATGGATCTTGAGCTTTGAATCAACTACCATCAGATTTCAAAGAAGTGGGAGATGAAACATTTCAGTTTTAACAGTTCTTTGTGTCTGGATTCCAAGAGTGTAAAAGACTGGTTTTGCAAAAGGCAAAAAAAAACGCATCTTTTTCAGATGTGCATCCACATTAAGCACAATGTCTTCTATCCACGGACTACACTTGAGAGGACTGCTCAACTTTCACAGCAAAATTATTTGCTGCCAGTTAGCTATAGCCCTACAAATCAAGCAATGACATGTAGCAACATAACAGTTTTCAGAAGACATAATGCTCATGATATGTATGTTTTATATTAAAATGGATGTCTTCCTGCTAAAAATATATAGTCCCAGGACTAGAATTGCAGCATTAGTCAGCTCCTAAGAAACCCTGTGTTGTATAAATACATTTGCACTATAACATGTGTAAGTAAAAGCTTTGTGGTTCTAGAGTTGATATGCTATTAAATTTAGTGATCTGAATTTTGCAAAGACTCCATCTAGAAGTGGGAAGTGGGCAGACTAGGGGAAAGAGAAATCACATGCCATACCCATCCTGAAAGATACAATGAAAAGCAGTGCAGAGGCCTGCAAACATTCACCTCTCAGCTTATTCTTCCACTGAAGTATTTCTGCTTTTAATAGTCATCATGCACTTTAGCAAAAGTCAACTTTATAGTTATATGCCTTTGCAAAGTCTGGAACAGTGGGAAAATGGGGAAATCCTATTGCACAAAAACGAATTTTGCAATGCAAAAAATATTTTTTGGGATAATTCAAGCCTTTATGTTTATTTCAGTAAAGCCAAATCCAGCAAACTATTTTCAGCCAGGATTAGTCAGAACTAAAAGGTTGGACTGTTTTCCTTCAGAGACTGAATGTCTTTCCTGCCTGCAATAGGCCAGTGTGTTCCAAACAGAGTAAATGGAATTGCCTTCAATTGCTTGTCTCTTTCTGGCATTTTTAATGCAGAACCCTACCGACAGAGTAAGGTTTTGCCGCCTAGAATGTAATTATTCTTTTCACTCATATAACATGGCATTCTCACAATGTATCAGCTTCAGATTTTCCTTCAGAAAAATCACAACATGGGGCATAATGTAACGACAAGAAATGCAATTTCATTCTGCCAGAAATTCTTAAAACTCTCTCAAAAATACCTACTGGACGGTGAAAAAGTGCTTCTAATACTTGCATTACAGCTATCATCTGTTTCGTTTGCTTTTACATGAATCAGACAACTTTGCCAATCTAAAAATCCAACATAAACATGGTCCAGATTCTTTATCATCAAGACATACTAGAAAAAGAAGGGACTCTGGCTGGGGGACCACCATCTAAATAAGTTTCTTTTCAAAATGATTTATGTATTTCACACATTTCGTGACCTGTAGCATATTCAATATCCAGGGAGTACCTACAATTCTCAGATTTTAACTCTAAAAGAAATATTTCTGTCCATCTAAACTAATATAAAACACATGCTCTTCTTTTTCCAAGAGTTAAGTGAGCTGTCTGAGATTGTGCAAAGCTGCCCTGTGATCCCAAGGGTGATGTCCTATTTGTAAACCCTGAGGGTTTCTGTTAGGTGTAAAATGATTGTGAAATCATTTAAGAGTCATATTATTCAAAAATAGTAAATTTTGCCAAGAAACAGAGAGAGTTCCAGGATCTATGTTGTGAAGGGAAAGCCAGGGAGAAGGAGACACCATGAACACTTCCTTCAACACCAAAGGCACATTCTCCTCTTGCTTCTCTCTCTTTGTATCTTTCTACGAAATTCTTTCTCCTTAAAATTTGGTGAGATCCTGTGAGATTCTGCTGCTGTAGTATCCCTGGATGTTTCTATGCTGGCTATAAATCATTAACTAGTCTCACAACCCGTTGGGTGCAATGTGCAGGCATGTGGGTGCATGCAGCAACATTTTTACTAGCCAAGTTGCTAAGTGTGAGTTCCTTTCCAAATATGAGAACCACCCCTCCCCCAACCCCAATACTGGCTCAGTTATTGGAGGGAAGAAAAGAATCATTGAATATTTGCTTTGGAAAAGTTAAAGCTTGCTGGTGGTGTGGTGTGTGTTCCTCTGCCCTGCACATTTCAGCAACTTCAAGTTGGTGCCTGGCAGGGATCTATTTTCCAAGATTTTGAACAGTGTGGCAGATTAACCTCCCCTGATGTGATGGATCATGTACATTTGCAGAAAATAATCTGGAAGTGGAGAGATATCCCAGCCGCTAATAAAGAGACCTTCCCCTTCTCCAGGTTGAAGAGGTGTCAAAGCTCATGAATACCCAGGCTCCCAGGCATCCAAATGCCATAAAAGAAGAAAACGTCCCCTGACTTGTAGGCCAAGTTTGGAAGACACAGGCACTTTCAATGAACTCTCGTGGGCTTCGGAAAACTCACCGTACACTTGTTGGGCTTCTCTCCGGAGTGGACTCTCATGTGGATCAGCAGTTTATAGCGGGCGTTGAACGGCTTGTACCTTCGAGGACAACCGGCCCAGAAGCAAGTGAAGTCTTCGCCTTTGCGCTGGTCTATGTGCACCTTCTCTATGTGCCGCACAAGCTCCTCCTGCTGGTCATACAAGGCGCTGCAGTCGATCCAGCGACAGCAGTGCTTGCCCCCGACGGCGTCGTCCAGCTCTCCGTCCTCCTCCAGGGCCGCCTGGGACAGGGCCAGCGGCTGGGCGTGGGGGACGAGCTCTTGGTGGTGCAGGTGCGGGTGGGCATGGTAGGGGGGCGGGGGACCTTGGGGCGGTGGTGGCAGAGGAGGCAGAGGGGGCGCAGGGGGCAGATTCAGGGCGCTGCCTGGGAAATCATCCAGGCGCTCCGTCTTCAGCAGGCTGGCTGGCTGGCCGTCGGGGCCCGGCAGGCCATGCTGCACCACCATGTTGTTAACCACGCCGGGCTGGAGGGCACCGTGCTCCAGCTGCTGCATGCGCTCGTACTCCAGGGCGCCATCCTCACCGTATGCCGGGAGCGCCAGGCCGCCGCTGGGCACTCGCACACCCTTCTGGCTGCTTTGCACCGAGCACGGCTGGGGAATGCAGCTGCCGCGCACCCCCAGGAAATGCCCATAGACCTCAGGCTGGGGGGACATGTTGGCAGGGGAAGCCCTCGACCCGTTGATGTAGGCAACCAAGGACGTGGGCGAGGTGCGGATGATGGTATTGAAGTCTATCCCAATGCCATCGGACAACGGAGACAAGGACAGCGCTCTCTTCTTGGAGCGGGCTGAGTGGGACCTGGCCGAAGAGTGCCGGGGACTAGGGTAAGGAGAGTGGCTATTTTCCATGCCAAAAAGGTAGGATGGCAATGAGTTAGAGACACTGTTGCTGGACATGGCTGTCCCGGCAGGAAGGCTAAGGAGATCCCCTAGATCAACGCCATTCTGAGAGCCATGGTTGGAGGAGAGCGAAGGGAGAGTCCTGTAGCCATGAGACCACTCTTGTTTCACGCTCAAGGCCGACTGACTTTCTGTCAGACTCAAAGTCGTGGACGCCAAAGACTCACGCGAAATAAGGGACCTGGAACAGCAGCCAGAATGGGGGAAAAAAAAGAAAAGACAAACATTTTAGCAGGATATGGATTGCTTAAGAGCTAAAAGAACATTGCAGTGACAATCCCTTAAGTATTTCCCCTAATTACATTCTAGGCTAAACACACATTCTTTGGCTAAGATAAAATCCAAGGCTTTTAGTCCCAGGTAAATAACATTTTACCAAGAAGAACAATAAAGGCTAATGCTCACTGGAATAATAAAACAAAAGATCTATTGTTATAAATAATCTTAATACTTTAATGATAATAAATAGTCCTTGCTTTATTTTTAAATATCTTTTTTAATGTAGGGGAAATAGAGACCTTGGAGTAATTACTGATCCCTGCCAAAGCAAACCAAATAAGCAAGTATTTATTAAGCACCTACTGTGTTCAGCATGCTACAAATAGGCATTGCAGGAAGTATAAGTCTAAACAGAGTCCTAGCCTTCAAGTAAAACCAATTGGTGAGGTAAAACATAAACCCATGCTTGATTCGAAAAAAAGTAAATCCTCAAAGTCAAAGGGTCATCCAGGGAACCTCATAATAATTTCACAAATTTGTTTCACTGATATTAAGGAATTTTAAAGATTTCTTTAAAACATAGCAATTTACACTATCAATACTCAGTCACAACATCAAACCATCGCAGAAAATGAAAAAATATACAAACTACAGCTATAATTTAAAGGAGTGACAGTCTGCACTCAAGTCATATTTGGAATTACGCATTTGGGCTGTGCAGGGTTTAATCACCCTCACTAGTCTAGAATTTTTCAGGAGCTCTTGTCCTTAAATCAAAGCAGCTGTGGGCCAAGAGCAGATCATTGGCTTTCAGTAGTTGACTTTGTAACAATTCCTCTCCTGTTCTTCTAACCCTTGAGAAAACATACCTCACGTATCACAATATTTACCTGCATATCAAAATGGTTTGTAACGTAGTCTGGCCACTTTAAAATTCATTTTGCTTTACTATAGCACCATTGCCTTAAAAATCATTGAAAAGAAAAGCTGTGTCCCTTGGATAGAAAATTTGTCACCAAGAAGCTAGACACACCTCACTGTATTTCCTGACTCAGACATGGTATATATCAAAAAAAAACCTGGCTTATTTATATGTACCTGCATTGGTTTTCTACAGAGATCTTTTTTCTGATGAAAAATTAATCAAAGCAAAATATCATATAGAATGTCTATCTTCCCAGAATGAACCCATTTACGACTTCCAGCTGTTATACAGCAACCTGTTGCGAAGGAACTGAGGGAAAAGAGAAGCATTTTCATCCCACCTGTTCCTCTACTGCTTTTTACAAAAAGGAAGCCAGGAACACTATTTCCTACAAGCATGAGATATTAGCAAGAAAACGTCTTGGCTCCAAAATGCACAGTATAAGGTGATAGATAACACCATTATTGATGTGATGTTCCCATCGAGTGAAGTAATGTTTACCAATGACAAACACAGCAGGAATTTAAATCTAGTTGCCCTTGACATGGATTTATTTCTTGGTCCACATCCTTATATACGGGCTGAAGTCCTTATGCTAGCCCCAAAGTGGTTTCTGAACCATCTGTTTCTTAATTCCCCATGGACACTTCCAATTCTTTTCCAAGCACACCCGCAGCATGCAGCTCTCCCTGCAGAGCTCAGCTGAAGGCTCCTGGTGATTAGATGTCAAAGACCTTTTGAGTCCCTTCCCCAGGGAGATTCAAGAATTGCTTTCTGACCCAAGCCAAATCAGTAGTCGTATCATGTATGAGGCAAAGACAACTGACTTTGCTTTACACCTTGAGGTTGAAAGAGTTTATAGAACATTCTCAAATGGTACATTTGCCTGGTCACCGTCATACTGGAGCATTTCCGATTTTTAAGCAGTGAATAGCAGGCAGAAAGTATTTTACCCACCTGTATATACTTTGCATTTGAAATTACATTATTTGGTTTGAGGGCAGCCTATAGTAAGACATGTTCATTTGTTCCATAGTTGAGAGATGTTTCCTATTTTTCTCAAATTACACCTAAGCATGGATCAGTTTAAACTTGAGCGTGACCCCATGCAAGCACACTCCTTAACTCCTTGGACATCTCAGTTTTCTAAGACAGTTATGATACATTTTTCAGAAAACAAATCCTATATTCTATTCAGTAAGGTAATAATATGAACAGAGAACTCTCTATGTCCAACACCTAATCAGAACAAAACTTGGAACAAATGGCCTTTACCTACTGGCCCTCCTCCCTCCTGCGCGATTACCCAGATCTTTTAATCTTTCAAAGTTCTAATCCACGAAACCTCCTCCAAATACACTAGCTCTCAGTAAGAGTCCTCTTTCCAAAGAAGTTATATATTGTCTGTACTGCGCCTTAAACATAGCTAACTTCAGACATCTGTGGGTGTTATCTTCCTCAGTAAAATTCAAAGCCATTCAATAGAAAGGATCATTTTAATCTCCCCCAGTACCCAACTAGAGAATATTAGATATATGATAACTTTTCAAAAATTGTTGATTAAGAAGGTGAATAATCAATCAATATAATGACAACTAACCATCATTAATAGCTTACAAAGCATTTTCCCTATATACGATCTCATTTGATACAACCTGTAAGTAAATTGGATTTTTTAATAACTTCTATTTTATAAGAATAAAACTGAGGTTCTGTGAAATTCTTCCCAGTGACACCAAAAAGGTGGGGTGGGGGACTAAAGTCCTTATAGAAGTACAAATGAAGCAGGATTTAATAGGCAGTCACCTAACTGGATCACATACATCCTGTTGTTGTCCCCATATCATACCCCGACATGTGGTCCATAATGCTCTGCTTGATTAAAAGACCCAGTATGACAGGCTTAAAGTCACACAAGCTATGATCAGAACCCACATCTTCTGTTCTTCTTATGCAACAATATACTGAATGACTGTGAAAGATTCCAAAGGACTCTTGCCTATAATCCCTGCTGCTACCCACACCAGGCCTATGGGAAAGGAAGTGACAAAGAGCTGTGGTTCTATCACCACACTGAGAGCAATCTCCATTTCCATATGCTCATCTGATCCTAAGGATAGTATTTCTGGTGACTGGTTAATTTGGAGCTATATGTGAAAGGAAAGAGATATATAGCTCAAACAAGATAAAAGCAATATGAAAAACTCAGAAACTATCAGTATAGTAGTTTAGGGTGGCTGGTGAAGCAAGAGCTCACTAACTCTCACAGGGCCATAAGAGGCATGACGACAAAACTGAATTGCTTAGTTTAATGTCAAACTCAAAAGAAATATTAACTTTCAGGTCACATGAAATTCCTCAAAATGATGCTCAAGAGAAAGAATCCGTATACATACGTGTGTGTATGTGCATGTGTGTGTGTATTATGTGTTACGGCAAAGACTAGTCGCAGTCTATCTGGAAGTTCTTGTCTATGTGCCTGGAAAAATTCCCAAAAGAACTAGCACTGCATCTGAAGACAGGATGGCGTTGTAAAATGTTAGAACTTACATAGAGCCCAGTGTCCATTCTCAGCCCCTTGGCCTCCTCTGACCTTTGTGGATACGGTCCAACTCAAAATGAAACCCTAGGAAATTCTATCCCCAGAAATCACCTCCAAGAATTTCTGGTTTAGGAGAAAAAAAATGTGGTGCCTTTTTGGATCTGGAATGACATTATTAGATTGATAGTTGAACTTCGTAACTGACAAGCTAAATGACACTAGGCAAAGCATTTAGACTTGCTGCATCTTGGGTCCATCATCTATAAAACAAGGATAATACTTGCAGGTAGTTTATGAATATTCAGTCCATAAAATATAGAATCACAATGTCTGTGAAAGCACTGGAAAAGCTAAACATATACAAAGCCCATGCAAAGTAGCATCCAATCTCTTCTACTGCCCATTCAACTTTTACTAGATAGGGATATGAAGCCACTATATGAGGTTATTTCAGCACGTCAGCTTTGTCATTGTAGGGGAAATATATACAATGGCCTCTGCATTACAGAGTTTTGGCAGTGCCTAAATCAAGAATGGCTCCTGGATCTTAAAGATGGAAAGGTATAGTTTGCATTTACCATTTAGTGAGGCTAGTCAGAAATGGTTGGGAAATTAATAAAGGCAAATATATAGCAGTTGGGCATGACTCTCATCATTGGATTAAACAAAACCCAAAAAAGCTTAGAAAGAGTGCTTTTTTCTAAGATGAGCACTCTAGAGGAAAAATACTCAAAGGAGGTCAAAAGAAGAAATGCAAACAGTCAATAAATCTATGAAAACTATTCAATATTATCAATAATTAAGAAAATGAAAATTAAGATAAAATAATTTGTACATCAAATTGGCAGAGTTATAAAAATAACAATATCTAGTATTTGATAAAATATAGGGAAACATAAAGTTTATAAATGATTAGGCCTTTTCTGCAGGGCAATCTGAGAACACATATCAAAAGCCTCAAACTGTGCACTTCCTATAACTCAGCAAATTTTACTGCTATAAGAATTTATTTCTAATAAGTAGAGATGTGCAACAACAGATTTACAGAATTGATTGAATAAAGTAATACTTATAATATTGAAATAAAGAGAAACAACTAAATGCCCAGTGATAAAAGACCAAGAAAAAATTATAATTTTATTTATATACTTTTTTGATAAAATGGAATCTTGAGGGCCTGGCCCCATGGCTGAGTGGTTAACTTTGCATGCTCTGCTTCAGTGGCCTGGAGTTTCACCAGTTCAGATCCTGGGCACAGACCTAGCACTGCTTATCAAGCCATGTTGAAGCGGCGTCCCACATAGCAGGACTAGAAGGATCTACAACTATAAATATACAGCTATATAAGGGGGACTTTGGGGAGAAGAGGAAGAAAAAAAAAGATTGGCAATGGATCTTAGCTCAGGGCCAATCTTAAATAAATAAATAAATAAATAAATAAGTATAATAAAATGGAATCTTAGGCAGGAAGAAGTCATTATATGATGCTGCAGTATTTTTTATTACAAGAGAAAGTGTGTACCTTAATTGAAAAAAGTAATTATAATACTATGTAGATTATTACATATCAGTTTGGTAGAAAGGAAAACCTACGCTTATGATGTATGTGTTTGCATATAGCCAGAAAGATGGATATCAACATTCCACCCATGATTGCCTATGAGTGGTAGAATTCAGGATGACTATCACTTACTGCCTGGTGCTTTTCTACATTTTCTACAATGAGTAAGAATTACACAGAAAATCAGGAAAAAATAATAACTTTTACAGCTTTCTTTAGGGCGACCATCACTCAGACTGAACAGTTCATGCTCCATTCCCCACGCCCCACACGCCCCCAATGAATAAAACACAAAGCTGATTCTCTCTCTACCTTCTCTTCATCTCTAGATGGCAAAATGCCTTCAAGTTGAACTGTTGCCTCCTATCCTTTCTCTCCTCTGTTGGAACACGCAAACCAGTTTAAGGATCACAAATAAATGCAACCTTTCCACATTGCTAAAAGTAAGTTCCATACTTCACCAAGCCACTTCCCAACTCCTGTTTCTTTGCTCATCCTGCAAAGAATGATTTCCATAGAAGGACTCACAGAGTACACAGTCAAAAACATATGGCAATGAATCTTTAAGATGTTGTCTTTTAAGTATATAGAATTATGCTAAAGAATCAAAAATGCCAGAAAACACTGAGATAATGACCCTTCCCTGGATGACTCGTGAAAGGAACTGCATTAGATACATGGCTGGAACATCCTGTGCCCTGCCTCCCATCAGTTTCTCCATTAATTATGACTCTCTGCCTTCAAGGCGTGGGCTGGACTTGCCACAGACAAGAAGCTGAAGGCTTCCCAATGACACTCCACGAGTACAGTTAATTTTACAGGCAACACTCAGCAAGTCTGAGGAGTCCCTCAAGGCATAATCATCAATGGGAAAATGACAGCAGCAGCTTCCCATCACAAAAAATCTGAGTTGAAAAACAAGTTTCAATCTCAGGAAAAAATTGGCATAAAAAATGACCTAGGAACTATGATTTCAGTCTCAAATAGCAGGTAGGAGGATGGTGCAGAGATATAAGAGGGGGAAGGAGGGATAGGAGGAAGAGGAGGAGGAAGGAGAGAAAGAAACCGGATCCCTGAAATGCAAGGCATCTCAGCAGATTCCAGCCCCCAAAGAAGAGGAAGCAGAGGTCCAGAGAGTCAAATTCCTTTGCAAAATCACAGTTACAGCAGAGCCAGGACTAAGAGGCAGAAACTTTGAACTGCGTTTCTCTAAGACGACTACTTACAGAAGATGAAATAATTCATTTCAAACAGAGAAACAGAACTTACACATTGTACAGTATTTTGATTTTATGTTCCCTATAATATCAACCTTGAGAAATATAAAAATTTGTCTGAGGGAGTGATTTCCCTTTCCTATTCAATGCTCTCCCATGGAGATAGATACACAGCATTTATCAGACCTACTGATTCCATCACCTAATCAGACTTGTGTTGAAATTTTATGTAACTCATACATGAAAGTATGTTTTCCAAGACACATCGTCAAGTCTGTAAATTCATGATTTCTAACTTTACTTTTTCTACCATCTCCCTAAACTTCAGCTATTGTATTATGCAGACAGTAGGTACTTAATAGATACTTGTGTAGATGGGTGGATGGGTGGGTGGATGGACAGATAAAACAGATTGTAAGGCAGCCTGGGGACACTGCAACATATACACTGAAAAATGAGCAGGTAAGATAGACGTGCATGGAACATCCCAATTTTTTAGGATGATCCTGCTTCACCAGGAATTGACAGATTTACACACTGGGCTTTTATCACTGAGGCCCCAAAATCTCAAACTGGGCATTCATTTCACTCATACTGCAAGACAGCAGGCAGTAAACCATTCTTCCCAATTAAGATGATATTACGGCATATACTTAGTTTTTATACACATTCTCCTATAAAGTTCAAATTGAAAGAGTTGCTTGAATGAGTATGTATGTGTTGTGTGTGTGTTTGTGTTGTGTGTGCACATGTGTTACGGAGGGGAAGGGAAAACACTCATGGGGTGTGATTATACCATAAGAAGGGGGAAAAAAAAAGTAACTTGAGACCTGGTATCTGAAGGAGGTATATTCAGGTTGGCTGCATTCATTGCCCTCTGTAAGCTAGGACTGATCTGGTTGCATGCTGTAGAGACCTGGCTTGCTGGAGGTGAAATGGGTCCCAGTCGCTGAACCATCATGGGACTGCTGGTGACCACTAGATTGTTGCAGCTGCCTTTTCCAATGGACTTGCACTGAGGCCCAAAGCCAAGAGCCCCTAAAAACAAATGAATCAGGTTAGCTTTCATGTCCCTTACATCAGAAATCAGTAAATACACACATGTGCACACTTATATCAGGACTCATCTTTAGAGATAGTCCTTGGATTATCTTTTTTTTTTTTGTATTAGTGATACCAAAAAGTTTTCTCTAATTCCAATGAAAAAGCCATAATGCTACAATAGAAACTTTCCATAATCACCACTCATATAAAATGTGCTTACATTTTGCTCCTTCTATATAAAAGTGCCCAGTTATATTAAGAATCATATTTTATCATCTCCTTCTCTAAAGGGTTAAGGTGGTAAGTAGATGGGATTCCTTATATAAAACCAAGTTTTTTCTAGAATAACTAATATCTTAAATCACCCAGTAAGGAAAGTTGACACTGCTGAAAAAACTTGTTTAACTGGTTCACTTCATTCCAATTCTGGCCTTTCAAAAAGCCTCTCTGAAAGGACACAGTCTGTCTGTGTCTCTCCAATCTTGATTTTTTCCTCATCCCAACACATTGTCATTGGACATATACCCAATTTAAAAAAAAATCAGGATGAGAGCCATAAACAAAACACTCATTCCAAAAGCAGCATGGTAACCAAATTCAACATAGATTTTTCATTTCATTAGTAACAATCTTTGAATGCAGTAAAATTTGGTACATACCCAAAGGGGAAAGAAAAAAAAAGAAACCCACAAGAATCTGTGCCGTTATGGAAAAGTGAAAAGCAAAGAGGAGAAAGGCAAACACTGCCATGACTCATTTATAAAAGATAATAATAGTGGTTGAATCATTCTAGACATTCTTTTTACATGGATGTACTTTTTCAAACATTTTTTGCAAACTACCTGGTCAAGTCTCAGTGACTGTACACTCTGTTCCCATTTCAAACAAATGAAAATAAATGAGCTCAGTTTCTGGCAAATTAGGCCCTAAAATTTTCTCACCAATTTCCCCATCTTTCTCATTGATATATTTGGGATCAAAGTAGGTGGAAAAGCATCTCAGTAACTTTCCTTAGCCCTAGGGAGCATAATTTCCTATTTTGCTTTTCCAAAAATTAAATTAATAGCCAAAAAATGACTTTTTTATCTTTCGTATCATTCTCTTCCAAGAGCCCACACAACTGAAGGATAAACAAGACCTTAGAGCAATTACCATGCTCTCATCAATGAAACTGCACCTCAACAATGCTGGGAGAGTCACAGCATCTTTAGCTGGCAGGAAGCCTACTCTAGTCCAGCCCTCTGGGAAACTAAAATCCAAGTGGTAATTGACGTGCCCAAAGTCAGACAAGGACTTACTGACAAAGCAGAAACGGATTCTACAAGGGTGTATTTTCATAGCACCTGTGTGCTTCAGTTTAGATGCTGGATGCTTAGTTTCTTTCTTGGATACTTTCCAAGATCATTAGGTCCAACAGAAACTTCTCTCTGATTTATTTTTTCAGATAAAACCAGAACCTTTCCTCTACCCCTCCACTGTGGCTTATATCTGATGCATCTTCTTGTGCCTAGAAAAATCAGTTATCGTCTCTCTGTTTTCACAACTCACATAACATCGTACCATCCAGGCTTCCTCTTGACACCAAGAGTGGTGGGTACGTTTTTGTGCAATGATCAGAAACTCAAGTGTCGTTATAAATTCCAACAAGCTACACGCTATTTTCTTTTCAAACCCCCTTTTCACCTCGGAAAACGGCATTGTGATGGTTCATAGCCTAGTCCAGTATATGTTTTTGTTAGTACCATGGAGTCAATTCCGACTCCTTAGCAACCCTGTGTACAGCAGAGTAGAGCCAATCTTTTTGCACCATCCTCTCATCTTCCGGTGTATCAGACAATGCTCCACTGCTATTCATAGGGTTTTCATGGCCAATTTTTGTGGAAGTGGTTGGCTAGGTCCTTCTTCCTAGTCTTTCTTGATCTGGAAGCTCCGCTGAAATCTGTCCACCATGGGTGACCCTGCTGGTATTTGAAATACCGGTGGCATAGCTTTCAGCATCACAGCAACATGCAGCTGCCACAGTATGACAACAGATGGGGGGTGGTGTGGTTCCCTGACCAGGTAACAAACCGAGGCATGGAGGTGACAGCACCAATTCTGAACCACTAGACCACCAGGGATGGCTAGTCCAGCATATAAGACTAAACTCCCCAGGTTCCCTCCTTACCAGCCACTGCTATTAAGCAACATTAGATGTCAGGTATTCTCTCAAATTCAGTGTCACATACTCATCTAAGGAACTCAGTCATTTCATGCCTGTTTCCTCCACAATAAAAAGGTATTAATATCTACCTCTAAAACAAAGACATATTAACAGCTGGAACAGCAAACCCAAGAAATACTACTTGGTAACAAAGCATATTAATACATTATTACATCAACTATTAGATCGATGTAATAAACATTATAATATATGTACAGTAAAAACATGCACAATCAATTAAACTAGCGCCGGGTGTCGAGATTTCAGAGATATTCAGATGTGAAAATATGTGCACCTTAGAATCAATAAATACCAACATGACTGCATAAAAATTTCTTTTAACCCTTTTCTTATTCATGCTCTTCTCTCTGATTGGCACACCCTCACCCTAACTTGTCCGCTTGGTGAGCACCTATCTATCTTAAAGGTCTCAATTCAAAGATCACCTCCTCTATGACTCCTCCTCCCTCACTGCCAGCTGAGAAGATCTGACCAATTCTTCTTTTTGTCCCTCCCCCACCCCAGTCTCTCATAACACATCTGCCTCAGCACCTTTAGGGAACTGAAATATTTACATGCTGTCATCCCCTCCTCTTTTATACTTTGTTGTTTTTTAAAGACAAAGCCCTTGTTTGAGGCACCTCTGCTTCCTCAGCGCCTAGCCCAGGGCCTGTACAGTACCCAATTAAGTCTACTGATGAGGTTAAGAATGAATGAATGAATGAAAATAACAGATAGTTATACATGAATATTAAAATACTGACACATTGTTTCCACTGCAACCCTCCTGATTTTCTTTTTTAAAAAACAGCGCCATTTTTCAAAAACTCCAACTAAGTCAATCCTTTGATGCTTCTCCACAGTACTGCTAACTAGGTCTGAATGGAAGATGAAGCTAGTGGGAGTAGTAATTATAAATTCATTTTTGTGGGCTAGAATTTTAGACTGGTCAAGGTTGCCTTTGTAACCCTATACCCCAGATTCACACACTTACATTATTTTTTCACTCTGTATTAAAGAAACCCTAATCCTTCCCTCCCCAGTGTCTCCATCATTTTTACTATACCACTTCCTACTCCCAAATTCACTGGTCAGTTTGAACCTCATCTAACCACAGAGGAGTGATAGCTTCGGACAGGATCACATATGGCATCCCTGAAGCATGAGGCTACAGAGTACATTGGGAACATGTAATGTCTGTGGCCCAGCTGTGAGAATGTTCTGGAAAATGGCATCATCTGTCTCATAAGTGGAGGCAAATAACTGTTTGACCAAGACTCACTGTGCTCAATGCAACCATCTCACTCTAATTTTTTTCATAATGCCAGACACAATGAACACCTTCAGACTTCTCAGAATCGTACAGCACTTTGGAGTGTGGGCACTGGAAACAGCCCCCCTGGGACCCCACCCCTACCCCGGTTGGTTGTGTGACTTGGGCAAATTAGTTAAACATTTGTGTGCCTTATCTCTATATCTATGTCTTCTCATTTGTAAAATGAGAATGAAAACAATACCACCTCATAAGGTTGTCGTGTATTTAGCATTAATTATACACGTAAGGGACTCTGCACATTGTCTAGCACATAGTAGGTATTCAATGGAGGTCATCTTCTATTTTTGCTGTTACTTATTATTGTTCATGCCTGTCACCATTTTTTTTTTTTTTTGCTCTATTCTCTTTCTTGAAAAAAGAAAAAACCTGTTCTTTCTAATTCCTTGCACAAAACAAGATAGTAAATGATGCTGTTTAATTCTTTACCCATTTCCAATGTTCTTTCTGCCTTGAGGCTGGAGCCAATTTTTTTCAAACCAGGTGTCATCACAGATAGAAGAAAAGTTTTCATTTGGCCAAGTTTGAATGTTCCTTGGCTTGTCATTCCCTGAAAACAAACCGTACAACTTTTCTGACTACCAGATGTGCCAAACACTTGTGTGCTGGTTTTCATTTTGAAATACCGCTTATTTTTAGAGACTGCACAATGTTTTTTAAAAACGTGTTTACTGCTCAAATAAGAATCCGAGTAGATGGCATTCCGACTACTACATATATTCTAGCCAAAATCACCGCATGCTGGTGGGGAGTGAAAACGTTTTGCATTTTCAAGTTTCTGAACTGAGAGGTCATCTTAGCAGGGGCGTGTTTTTAATTAAGGCCTTCATTAGCTAAAAGGGTTCTCTGGAAGTCAAATAGTTGATTATGTCACAATTATCCCTGCTGAGGCTGCATCTTTCAGAACAATTTATGTTTATCCACTAGTGTCTCTAAAAATGACACAGATATTGGATGAACAGGAATGGCATATATATAGGAGGGGAATAGAGAGAAGTAACCAAAGATTTTTTGGTGGTGTTGTTCATTCAACCAACACTTAATCAGATGCCAACCACGCGCCAGGCAGTCCCTGGAGACAATGGTGAGCAAGATGGGCAAGGTCCCAGCCCACACAAAGCCCGCATTCTGCCCATAAAGACAAATACCAAACCAACCATTCATTATAAAAGAGGTGGTCCCTGCTCCTAGGTTGGGTCACATAAAATGGCTTTCTTTACAGGTCAAACATGGTCAAATGAGAGCAATTTCTATATGGTTCAACCTAACACATGTGCAGGGTGTTATGGAAACAGAAATAAATACATATCAGGATTTGAGTCCTGTCTCCTCCACTCACTGGCTGTGAGTGGGCAAGGTTCTCAGTCTCCATGCCTCAGCATCCTGTTCCCTAAAATGGGGATAGTAATAGTACATAACTCATAGGGTTGTTATCAAGTTTAAAGGGTGAGTATAGGG